GGTCTCCTGAAATTTCTATCTCTGCTTCGATAGGTGGAATCAAAACAGAATCCAGCCCAGAGAGGGATAGCCTCCCCAACATGGGCTGATTCCAACACTCAAGTGGAAGGCCAGGTTGACCAGTGGAGGGTAGCTAGTGCCACCTTCTCCACCATTGGGTGGATGCCAGGCAGTCTGAAAGCTCTGGGTACAAAGCAGGGCATGTCAACTGTAGGTTTCCTGGTAGGCTGTGTCAACTGGCAACAAGCAGGCAGGCTGCCCCCACTCCTTCCCCAGTAAATCTCAGTCTCTCACCCCAGGAGACTAAGCTGTAGGTTTCCAGAGCTGTGGCAGATGCTACTGCTGTAGTCAAGTTCTCTGATGTGGGGAGGATGGCTGTCCTGCCATCAGACAAGCCTTCAGAGAAATGCCTGGCTCTCTGCCCCAATCCCTCTCCTGCTCTCAATCCCTGTGACTCAGCATCTCTCCAGAGACGTCCAAAAGAAACAACTCCCACTTCCATCAGTGTTCCCTTGAGCTCATCCATCAATTCCGTCCCATCTGCTTCCCATTCTCCAGAAATTTATCAAACTCCTTTGTCTTCTGATGGCCCCTCTACCACTGTCAATGCCCCTGCAGATGTGTTCCCCTCTATTCTTTCTTCTAGTTATTTCAAAAGGATTGAAGAGGAAAGAGCTGCCTTGTTGGTGTTCATGCCATGATCTCGAACCAGAAGTCATTCCCTTGGTTTTTAATCCTCTTATCTATGGTGCAGTGTCTAAGGATCTTCTCTCCTTCTAATTCTGGAAGTTGTGGGAATGCTTCCCCACTCACCACCACCTTTAATCTTTCATTTTCTTAGCAATAAAATCAAGAAGGGCATCTGCCTTATCTTAGAGCACCACTGCGGAGAGTTAACACAGAAGACCTGAGACTGCTATTCTTGGAAGGGTGTGCTTGCAAGGATGCCCTTGGCTGGCATCTGGGAACCTGGATTTGGGGAGGGTTCCCATCATTCTGTGACTGACAAGGGTGGCTCTCTGTGCCTAAACACTTTGTGCAAACAATACGGTTTGTGCTGAACACCTGTTTTCTGTTTGAAAATCTGGAATTCTAATATGTGCTAGGCAGAGGGTACCTATGTGACCAGCCTCCAGTAAAACCGTTGGATGCTGAGTCTGTGATGAGCTTCCCCGGTAAACAGCGTTTCACATGTACTGTCACAATTCACTGCTGGAAGAATTAAGCATGTCCTCTGTGACTCCACTGGGAGAGGAGTCTTGGAAGCTCACGCCTGGTTTCCTTTGGACTCTGCCCATGTGCCTTTTCCCTTTGCCGAGTGTGTGTTTTATCCTTTTGCTACAATAAATCCTAACCATGAGTATGACTATATGTGGCATCCTGTGAGTTCTCCTACAGAATTATCCAACCTGGGGGTGGTCTTGGGGACCCCAGAACCACACCACTTATAAGATCAGTGTTTCCATCTCTTGATAAGCTTTGATCATAGCTTGAGGTAGTATTTTTCCAGCATGTGTCTGGAAGACGTCTATCTGGAAAACTGGCCAAAGAAGGCCTACACAATCTGTTTTTTTTAAGGTATTTTTTAAAATTTATTTATTTTTGGCTGCGTTGGGTCTTCATTGCTGCGTGCAGGCTTTCTCTAGTTGCGGCGAGCGGGGGCTACTCTTCATTGCAGTGTGCGGGCTTCTCATTGCAGTGGCTTCTCTTGTTGCGGACCACGGGCTCTAGGTGTGTGGGCATCAGGAGTTGTGGCTCGCAGGATCTAGAGCGCAGGCTCAGTAGTTGTGGTGCACGGGCTTAGTTGCTCCACTGCAATGTAGGATCTTCCTGGACCAGGGCTCAAACCTGTATCCCCTGCATTGGCAGGCAGATTCTTAACCACTGTGCCACTAGGGAAGCCCCACAATGACCATCCCTGGCTTCCTTCCTCAGCCTGGGCCTCAAAACCCTGTATGGGTTCTTACTGCATGGGTGCTCTGCCTCTTTGTGATGACACATGTCCTCCTGAGCAGGCAGCTCAGCCTCCCTCCAGCCCAGCATCCCTGCATCCCTGCCCTCCATGGTCCAGAGTCCCTCTTTTCCACTGCCCATGCTCCCATTTATGTGACAATAAGCAAGCTGTCCCTGTTTCTCCTCTGCTTCCACTTCGCTTCATGGTTAGAGATTGTGACTCTACTTCCATAACTACATTAAACCACCTTTCCATAGTGTCTACAAGCTAGAGCTTGCAAATAAAGCACTGAGTCACAACTTCAGGGTCAAGCAACGTCGAAGCACATGCTTGAATGTGAAATATACTCCTGAAGAGAAAATTGTTGAAAAACCTCACACACTTGGCTTATCAGCTGAGATCGAGAGTGTGAATTAGTGCCATGTCTGATTACTGAATATTCTTAAGGAGTGTTTAGGTGGGAGGGAGACAGAAGAAAAGCAATTCTTAATCCAGCCCACAGTAAATGGCAGTTCTTAAATAGCTGTCCCCACTCGACTCTACTCATAGTATATTCTTGGCTCCCTTATCCAATATTAGTTGACCATATATGCACGGCTTTATTTCTGGGCTCTGCATTCTGTTCCATGGGTCGATGTGTCTTCTTTAATGCCAGTACCATACTGTTTTGATTACTACAGCAGAGTCCTGCACAGCTGGGGAAGCTGGGTGTTCACTCACATGCTCTCATTTTCCCCATGGGAGAAACCACCAGCCAAGAAGGTCTTTTTGTCCTTTAGCTGTGCCACCCTGGGAGAGGAGTAACGCAGGTAAAGTGAAGCTGTCCCTCTTGCCCTCTTCAATGTGTTCAATCTCAGATTTTTTGTTTGTTTGTTTGTTCCAACAATGTGCTGGAACTTCTCCACTGGACTCCTGGACTTTCACAAAGGAACTCTCATCCATGAATAATTGTCAAAACTGGTGTTCTTTGGGGGAAAGATGGCAGAAAACGCCTCTTCCACCATTTTGATGATGTCTTAGAATAAGTTCGTCTATGTCTACAAAAACCTTTGTCGTGATTTTATTACATTATATAAATTATATAATGATCTCATTATATAAATATAGATAGATCAGTTCTGGCAAAATGGACATCTTTCCTGTGCAGAGTCATCCAATCTGTGAATATATTTAGTATGCCTCTCCACTCACTTAGGACTTCTTTGATTTCTTTCAACAGCATTTTGTAATTTCCAGCATAAAGATCCTATACATAGTTGTTAGATTTACACCTATGTATTTTGTTTTCTTTGAAACAATTGTAAATGATATTATATGTTTAATTTCAGTTTCCACATGTTCCTTAATGGTATATAGAAATCTGATTGATTTTTGTGTACTGATCTTATATCCTGTGGTCTTGCTGAACTCACTTATTAGTTCTAGAATTTTTCTGCAGATTCTTTGGATTCTCTATGTAGACAATGATGTAATTTGCAAATAAGAACAGTTTTCATTTCTTTCCCTTTTAATCTCTATGTATTTTATTGATTTTTTCTTGCCTGATTGCCCTCACCATAACTTCCAACTCCATGTTGAGTAGCAGTGGCACCAGTGGACATCCTTGACTTATATCTGATCTTAGGGGGAAAGCATTCAGTGTTTCACCATTAAGCATGATGCTAGCTACAGTTTTTTGTGGATACTTTTTTATCCACAAGTTGCAGAAATTCCCCTCTATTCCTAGTTTGCCGAGAGATTTTATCAAGAACCATCGTTGGATTTGGTCAAATGCTTTTTCTGTGTAAACCAACATGATCATATGATTTTTTTTCTTTTTCAGTCACTTGATATGATGGATTACATTGATTGACTTTTGAATGTTGAAGCTGCCTTGTATACCAGGAATGAATTCCACTTCTTCATGGTATATAATTCATTTTATACACTGCCAGATTTAATTTGTTAAAATCTTACTGAGGATCTTTGTATCTAAGGTCATGCAAGTTTTTGATATGTAGCTTCCCCTTTTTTGTACTCTCTACTTTTGGTATCAGAGTAATACGAGCTGTATGAAACCGAGTTGGGAATTGTTTCCTTCTCTTCTATTTTCTGCAAGAGATTTTGTAAAACTCTTCTTTAAATGTTTGATGGAATTCTCCAATGAAACCTAGACCTGAAGCTTTCTTTGTATTATTATTAAACATTAAATTTCTTTTCTATTATAGGACTACACAGGTTGTCTATTTCAAGTGGCTGCATTTGGGTCTTTGTGGTTTTTGAGGAATTGGTAATTTCTTCTAAGTCATCAAATTTATTAATGCAAAGTTATTTTCTAGTATTCCCTCATTATTATTTTAGTGGCTGCAGGATATCTAGTTATATATCTTTTTTCATTCCTAATACTGGTTATTTGAGTCTTCCTATTTTTTGTCTTTGTCATTCTTGCTAGGGAGTTAACAACTTTATTGATTCTTTTCAAAGAATCAGCTTTCTGTTTCATGGATTTTTCACCTTTTTCAGTTTCATTGATTTGTGCTCTTTTCTTTGTTAGTCTCTTTTTTATGCTTGGTTTATGCTTATTTTGCTCCACTTTTTTATTTTCTGGAGGTGGGAACAAAATTTTTGATTTGAGACATATTCTCTTTTCTAAAGTAAGCATTGAATGCTATAAATTTCCCTCTAAGCATTGCTTTATCTGCATCCAACATTTTTTGATATGTTATGTTTTCATTTTCATTCACTCTGTGTATTTTAAATTGGACCTTACAAACTCTTTGGGAATAGCCTTCTCAGTAGAATCTATATGACTCCATATGTACAAGAAGTAGTTTTCTTAAGCCAAGAAAAGATATAGTTCAGCATCAAAGATCAGCTAGGAAATAAATAAATTAACACCCCTTCATTTCAACTACTACAAAAATCAAGTGCTTAAGGGAAAAACACCTGCCAATTAAGTGAAGACATCAGACGAAGATAAAACATATAAAGCATTTCAGATTTCTGGATAACTCTTGATCTTGAAAATTATGCTGTTTAAAAAGAATAAATATTTCCCGAATCTTACCTGCAGCATTACAACACTGTCACCTTCAAAAGTTACAAACACATCTGTGTCACATTTTAAGCCTGAGATTCCGTTTTCCATCATGTAACCCTATTGCAAAAAAAAAAAGAAAAGCAGATTTTAAATTTGCAGTCCCATCATTATAAAGGACTAACATTTTCTTCGAAATTAAATACACACAATTGAAAAAAAGAAAATAACTCTATTTCTCCTACCCAGAATAGCCATTCTAAGAATTTTGACCCATCCCATGAGCTTTTGGTCCATAAATATTATTTGAGGGTATGGCCTTTGTTGGTAGTAAAAACATTTGAAAACAATCATGTCACATTTTTCCAAAATATTTCAACAAATTATGCTAATTTTTTCTCTTTCTCTTCCAAATCTTATGAATTTGAATAAATGTCAAGGTATTTGTGATTATACCCCACAATATGCAGGAGAAGGATGCCTCCCCCACCCAAACCCTTTTTTAATTAGTAAATATACCTATGATTCCTGGGAGACAACATAAAAAATCCTAAATTGCCACTCTGCCTCTTCATGTCATTAAATATTCTGCATCATAAATATACACTCCAGCTTCCACCTAGTTTTTTACTTTTTTTCTTTTCTCACTTCCTGAAATCCTTATTTAAATGGCGGTAGCCTGCTGCTCCTTTCCAAAGTGGTGAAGTGTTTCTGCACACACACTGGGAGAATCAGCTGCTCCAGAGAAAGCTGATCAGCCCCAGGCCAGACGTGGAGGGAGCAGAGTTGCCCGCGTTTGGCCACAGGCCCTTCCCCCTCTCAAGGCCTCTGTGCTCTTTCTTCCAGGCCATTGTCCTCCCCCTTAACTCTCAGAATCCTTCCCACTCTCAGAATCTGCTTCCAAATCAGCCCTACCATGTAAGTTACATCACAGGCGGCTGTCGCATCACCTCTCCCAGGAGTATGTGCACTTAGCACTTTGGCTCTGTCTAGGAATGACAAGATTCAGCCCCTGTTGGAATTTTCAAGCCACATGGGCCAGGGAGGGTCACACACGGTGCTCCCGTGGGCAGCCGTATACTCCAACCTCAAGGTACCCATTATCCTTGGGGTACCTGCTTCATTTCTGAAAACGGCCACTTGAGTCACAGAAGTGGGCACTCTGGGCTCCCACTGCCTGCAGAGCCTGAAGTCCTGTGAGCATCCCTGCTTTCCTGTCCCGGAGCCATCCTCTGATGCCCCGCTGCTTCCCCTGGTCCGCCTCTGCATCACGGCAGTCCGGGCAGGCCCTCTGCACGGTGTTAGTTTACAGAAGCAAAGGCATCTTCACAAACCCTCAGGAATCCTTCATAACTTTCATAAAGGTAAACTGATTATATTTATGGAAACAGAAATTGGTGGCATTTCCAGCCTGGAGAAGTTCAGCCTTGCCTCCCCTCCCCCACCATAACCACAGGGTAAATCCCCTCATTCCCGGGCAAACCACATGAGATCAGGTTCTGACTGTGATCAGGCCCCAGAGTGTTTCCCCTGCAAGGGAGTAGCTGACTCACTTTCACCATCACCATTCTACCATTTATCGAGTATCTGCCACGAGCCAGATACTGAGCTGGGTGCTTGACCCAGACTTCATTTTATTATTTCACTTAATCCTTTTCCTCCTCTCAATAGCCCTGTGAGGTAGGTGTTACCCCATTTTACAGATGAAGAGAGCAAGGCTCAAGGGCTATGTTGGAATGTTTTTGAATAACCCCTCAAGTTCTGGTACGGAAAAGATGAACATGAGATCTACCACCTCAGACTTGGGAAGAAGCTGTTATATATAAGAAGCACACCTGCTAAAGGCTCACAATAATAATTCTGAAGAAATAAAGTACTTTTTTCTTGATCATTTTGCTCTGGTCTCTTCCAGCAAGAGAGGGAGAAACAGGTTCTCTGTTGTTCTGACACTTTTGAACCGTTCACACCCTGCCCTGGAAACCAGGCCATCAGGGATTTAAAATAACCCGAGCAGTGGCTCACTCAAAAGGCAGCAGAGTGGAGGAGCTTCAAGATGGCGGAGAAGTAAGACGAGGAGATCACCTTCCTCCCCACAAATACATCAGAAATACACCTACACGTGGAACAGCTCCTACAGAACACCTACTGAACACTGGCAGAAGACCTCGGACCTCCCAAAAGGCAAGAAACTCCCCACGTACCTGGGTAGGGCAAAAGAAAAAAGAATAAACAGAGACAAAAGAATAGGGTGGGGACCTGCACCAGTGGGAGGGAGCCGTGAAGGAGGAAAGGTTTCCTACACTAGGAAGCCCCTTCGCGGGAGGAGACTGCGGGAGGCGGAGGAGGAAAGCTTCGGCGCTGCAGAGGAGAGCGCAGCCACAGGGGTGCGGAGGGAAAAGAGGGGAGATTCCCGCACGGAGGATCGGTGCCAACGGCACTCACCAGCCCGGGCGGGGAGGGACTGGGAGCTGAGGCTCGGGCTTCGAAGGTCGGAGGTCGGATCCCAGGGAGAGGACTGGCGGTGTGAACACAGCCTGAAGGGGTTAGTGCACCACAGCTGGCCGGGAGGGAGTCCGGGAAAGTCTGGAGCTGCCGAACAGGCAAGAGACCATTGTTTCGGGGTGCGCGAGGAGAGGGGATTAAGAGCACCGCTTAAAGGAGCTCCAGAGACGGGCGTGAGCCGCGGCTAAAAGTGCAGACCCCAGAGCCAGGCATGAGACACTAAGGCTGCTGCTGCCGCCACCAAGAAGCCTGTGTGCCACCACAGGTCACTCTCCACACCTCCCCTCCCGGGAGGCTGTGCAGCCCGCCACTGCCAGGATCCCGGGATCCAGGGACAACTTCCCTGGGAGAACGCACGGTGCACCTCAGGCTGGTGCAACATCACGCTGGCCTCTGCCGCCGCAGGCCCGCCCCACACTCCATGCCCCTCCCTCCCCCCCGGCCTGAGTGAGCCAGAGTCCCCGAAACAGCTGCTCCTTTAACCCCGTCCTGTCTGAGCGAAAATCAGACGCCCTCAGGCGACCTACAGGCAGAGGCGGGGCCAAATCCAAAGCTGAGCCCCTGGAGCTGTGCAAACAAAGAAGAGAAAGGGAAATCTCTCCCAGCAGCTTCAGAAGCAGCGGATTAAATCTCCACAATCAACTTGATGTACCTGCATCTGTGGAATACCTGAATAGACAACAAATCATCCCAAATTGAGGAGGTGGACTTTGAGAGCAAGATTTATGATTTTTCCCCTTTTCCTCTTTTTGTGAGTGTGTATGTGTATGCTTCTGTGTGATTTTGTCTCTATAGTTTTGCTTTTACCATTTGTCTGACGATTCTGTCTGTCCGTTTTTTACTATAGTAAAAATTTTTCTCCCTTTTTTTTACTATAGTTTTTAGCGCTTGTTAGCATTGGTGGATTTGTTTTTTAGTTTGGTTGCTCTCTTCTTTCCTTCTTTCTTTCTTTTTTTATAACTTTAAATTTTTTAATAATTATTTTTTATTTCAATAACTTTATTTTATTTTATTTTGTTTTATATTCTTCTTTCTTTCTGCCTTTTATTCTGAGCCGTGTGGATGACAAGCTCTTGGTGCTCCAGCCAGGCGTCAGGGCTGTGCCTCTGAGGTGGGAGAGCCAAGTTCAGGACATTGGCTCCACAACAGACCTCCCAGCTCCACGTAATATCAAACGGCGAAAATCTCCCAGAGATCTCCATCTCAACGCCAAGCCCCAGCTCCACTCAATGACCAGCAAGCTACAGTGCTGGACACCCTATGCCAAACAACTAGCAAGACAGGAAAACAACCCCACCCATTAGCAGAGAGGCTGCCTAAAATCATAATAAGGTCACAGACACCCCAAAACACACCACCAGACGTGGACCTGGCCACCAGAAAGACAAGACCCAGCCTCATCCACCAGAACACAGGCACTAGTCCCTTCCACCACGAAGCCTACACAACCCACGAAACCAACCTTAGCCACTGGGGGCAGACAACAAAAACAATAGGAACTACGACCTGCAACCTGCGAAAACGAGACCCCAAACACAGTAAGATAAGCAAAATGAGAAGACAGAGAAACACACAGCAGATGAAGGAGCAAGGTAAAAACTCAACAGATCTAACAAATGAAGAGGAAATAGGCAGTCTATCTGAAAAAGAATTCAGAATAATGATAGTAAAGTTGATCCAAAATCTTGGAAATAGAATGGAGAAAATACAAGAAAAGTTTAACAAGGACCTCGAAGAACTAAAGAGCTAACAAACAATGATGAACAACAAAATAAGTGCAATTAAAAACTGTCCAGAAGGGATCAATAGCAGAATAACTGAGGCAGAAGAAAGGGTAAGTGATCTGGAAGATAAAATAGTGGAAATAACTACTGCAGAGCAGAATAAAGAAAAAAGAATGAAAAGAACTCAGGATAGTCTCAGAGACCTCTGGGACAACATTAAATGCACCAACATTTGTATTATAGGGGTCCCAGAAGAAGAAGAGAGAAAGAAAGGGCCTGAGAAAATATTTGAAGAGATTATAGTTGAAAACTTCCCTAATATGGGAAAGGAAATAGTTAATCAAGTCCAGGAAACACAGAGAGTCCCATACAGGATAAATCCAAGGAGAAACATGCCAAGACACATATTAATCAAACTATCAAAAATTAAATACAAAGAAAAAACATTAGAAGCAGCAAGGGAAAAACAGCAAATAACACACAAGGGAATCCCCATAAGGTTAACAGCTGATCTTTCAGGAGAAACTCTGAAAGCCAGAAGGGAGTGGCAGGACATATTGAAAGTGATGAAGGGGAGAAACCTACAACCAAGATTACTCTACCCAGCAAGGATCTCATTCAGATTTGACGGAGAAATTAAAAACTTTACAGACAAGCAAAAGCTGAGAGAATTCAGCACCACCAAACCAGCTTTACAACAAATGATAAAGGAACTTCTCTAGGCAGGAAACACAAGAGAAGAAAAAGACCTATAATAACAAACCCAAAACAATTAAGAAAATGGTAATAGGAACATACATATTGATATTACCTTACATGTAAGTGGATTCAATGCTCCAACCAAAAGACAGACTGGCTGAAAGGATACAAAAACAAGACCTGTATATACGGTGT